GCGAGTGGAAAGACAAGCATTAATTGTTACTGTAGAGGAGCGGATGGATCAATAGGTATAGATTATCCTCTGTCCATTAGGAATAATTGGTGATGTTTGAGCGAGCGACGTGATGACACATCGACGGCGGCGAGCTGGGAGTAAAACACCATCGATCGTGAGGAAAATGCACAGTTTGACAGTCAGTTTAGTTTAGTGTGTCACAATTTGATCATCCACAGCTTTGCTTTATTGGGATCAATCAATACGAGTGGGGACTCACTGGGAGGAATTTCCCCCATGACTCAAATAACCAAGGATTTTCTTCTTGTGGAGATATTTTTATTTTTTACAAGAAGGTTTAGTTTGATGTTGTTGTTGTTTTAATTTACTCAATATGGAAATATATGTCACTAATGAGACTGAATCATTGATACTGAATCATTGATACTGATTGGTTTTGTTTGCTATTTTCTGGAAACCCCCACAACCCCCCGTCATTTCCCTTCAAACCACTTCATTAATATTTCTTCAAAAATCTTTTTTCCACATCTGGAAATAAGGAAAATGAATAATTATTACCAACACCGTCTACATCATATGTGATGCTTATGTAATTGTTTTGCATGAAGGATTTTATGTGGACCTCAGGAAGATCAGCAACCGCTGTAGCCGAAGTTAATGGGGATCAGAATAAAGAAAAAGGAATATAAAAGGGCAATTACACGCACATATCATAATGCACAACAGGCACCATCATGTCACATCCACATGTAGTTATTATGTTGAAGTGTATAATAGTCAGAATGCTTGTAACTTAAATAATGTTTGACATACTTGGTATTATTAATATCTCCATACAGTCCAAGTGTAGCTGAATATACCTCTCTCACATCATTCATCTCCACATATAATACAGTAAATCTTATTGTCCTTGACTATATTCAGCGTTACATTATTTGGTTTGAGTGTAAAAGGAGATTATGAAGCAGGAAGCTGAGCAGCATCACTGTGTGTGGACGTCTGCAGCTGCTGTTAGAAAACTGATTGACAGCTTTTGTTTTGTTGTTTTTTTTAATTCTCCTTTAAAATCATCTGCATGCAACAGGAGGAAGTGGATTCAGAGCTGTAAGTGATACAGCAGTGTTTGTTGTAGATCTGTTTCTGCAGGAAAGGTGGAGTGGTGTGAGGACACGGTCAGTTTAGAAATGGGTTTGAATATGTTGATGGATGTGTGTGTTTTCATTCTGCTGCTCCCTCACAGTGTGTGCATGTTTAAAGGGTGAAGAAAAAAAATCAGAAAAATTGGATTAAAAAACAAAGAAAAAATATTGCTTTTCAAGAGACAGTTTTTTTTCTGGAGGGAATAAAAGAAGAGGAGAAGAATCTCTGGCTCCTTCAACCAGAAAAAAAAATGTAAGAATTGGAAAAAGAAAATCAATTTTTCCTCCTGTAAGATTTCCCTTTCTTCTCTCGGGATGTGTTGCTGTGGAGTGAAGGAATGGTGGATGTGTGAGCTGAGAGGGAAGTGCAGCCTGTGATCATTGGCCGGGACGCGGTCCGTCAGGGACAGGCTGAGGCGTGACACACACACATGGCTTGTGCAACAGTGACATCTTTTGGTTTGTGGTGGGCCGGTGGAGCTGAGGTCTGTCAGTCTGCAGCCTGCAGGCCAGCCGCTACAGTAAATAAAGATTATGATCACATTATGCAAATGACTGTTCCATCTGTACACGGCTCCCTCGTGTTAGTCTGCACTCTCTCTTTCTGTGCTGACAGTTATTTGAGTCCTCGAGGCGACAGAGAGTTTCACTGCGCAGCCATGTGTTGACAAGGCTGAAGGTGATAGCAAGTCTTGCTCTGACAAATAGGAAGGAATATATTATATTGTTTCAGGTGCAGCGTGTTGGCTGAGCAAGAAATGAGCTTTCAGAGGCAGACAGCAAATAAAGGCTGGACTGGAAAAGGTTTCTGAAAGCTTTGATTGTCTCTGATATGAGATCATGATTCACAGAAATGCAAATATTCTAATGTCAAACCAGGAGGGCTTAACGAGGTGAAACACTGGATTTTCAGACGGTCTTTAAAGGAATGTTCTATGAAATTTAACTAGTGACTGAAAGGAAGCAAAGTGGATTTAACATCTTCCTCTCAAACTCTAAACTAAAGTTTAATGCCCACGACTATAAAATAATGTTTTTGGATAAACATGCACAGTTTATCTCTCAGAGCAGCTCACATGACACCCCTGTCAGAAATGTTCAAATATAACCTGCTGAGCTCTGACAGATTCATCAAGTTCTCACACATGAAACTATTTTTAATGGCCTTGCCTCAGATATATCCTGTCCACTGATCAAAATCATCATATCATAAAGCCACAACCGGAGCCAACAGAGACAGAAGTCAGTCTGAGTCCTGAGGACTGAGACTCTTGTGGTTTGTTGATGGTGTGAAGTCAGAGTGGAGCCACATCTCATCTGACACTATCGTACATATGTGGTAGTTAGATGTGTGATTTCAGCAGGAACTCTAAAGACAACCTACTATTAGATCCATTTGCTTATTATGGGAACTGTCAAAGTCGAGACGCATATTCATTTATGGAAGATCATTTTGTTACCATGGTAACATGTATGAGCGCAGGGTTTCTCCTTGACACACCAGAAAGTGAAAGGAAGTTAAAACACAGGTATGTTGTGTGTCTAAGCAGCTCCTCATTAAAAAGTGAGGGAACCATGGCAACCACAACAATCACCCACCTGATCATAATCAGTTATTTCTTCATTACCTTGATCAGGTCTGGATCTCAGCTGACGTTCCAGTTTATCCCAAACATGTTGAGTCAAAGACCGTCCAGAGTTTCAGCTCGTTAACGTCCACATGATGTTTTTATACAACACAGACCCATGATGATGAAATAACCATCATCTCCATGACTGAGTGTTTCCACCTTGACCTGCAGTGAAACAATGACAGTCTCATAAACACAGATTCAGGGTTTCATATGTCACACACCTGAGGAACCAATCCTGTCAACCTGTGGGGACGGGGGGCGGGGCTAAATACACCTGAAACCTTGTCAGAACAGAGAGAGAGAGAGTTAGCATTAGCACAACCGCTAACACTGTCAGCCACAAACAAATAAAAGATGCTAACTGTGCTATCGGTTCTGATATGTTTTTATATTTTATTTGTGTTTTTAATTTTGTTCCTTTAGATTGAATTGTGAACATGTTGCAACAAGTGCCTTCTGCTTCATCAGTCATTCGCCCACAGTGCCACAGTCTCTTCTCTCTGAGAGCAGCAATTCTTATTATTTGGCCTCACAAATCATAGAAGAGGGAGAACTAGAAAACTTTTTTTTCCTGTGCAACCTCATTATATTACTGGCCAATATTTATATCCATAAATGTAAGGAGTTAAAAACTAAACCCTCTTTTTGTACCTTTAAGAATGAAGCACAGTCTTATATCAGAACATCTTCCACCTCATGAAATAGAAAAGTGAAAACCTTCTTTTTTTGTATTAGATTGTGTCAAACTTTGTACAGGCTCGGACCAGCTCAGCGTCTCCCAGCTGGATCACGAAGCCACTGATTCCTGCTCTGATCCTTCCGCATCTGCGCGCTCAGGATTTCAGCTGCGTCAAGAGCAGCAACAGCACCAGCACAAAACCGGAAATAGTTTGAGTTTCCGCCAAAATAAAAGCCGCAATTACTATAATTACTCGGTTTGGAAATAAAAAATTGAACGTGTTTCTTCCAAACAAATAAATGATAGAGGTGAGTGATTACAGTAACACAGCATTTCACTACATATTGTACTTAGTGTAATGATGTGACAACTAAAGATTGACTTGATAAATACACAAAAACAAACAAACAAAAAAGGTAAATATGCGCTAAAAGTGTCGTAGACTTGACATGCTATTGTCTGTTTATTACCTTTACTTTTTAGTGTGTATGATATAAACACTGTCTTATGATGAAACAACAAGCTGCGTGACTCAGATGAATCATTGTCTCAGTCTGATTAAGTCTCATTAAATGCAGCAATAGATAATGAACTACAGCCTGACCATCCCGAAGAGAATGCCCTGTAGATTTCCATTTATAATTTGTCACTGATTTTAGAGGAATCGAAAATACCTTTTTATTTCTGAAGCTGCTGCAGCTGAAATCACAGCTGTGCTCAGACTCCAGGTCATGTTGAAATAAAGTAGACGGCTTCTGTGATTCTTCACTGCACATATTTGATATCACAGCATTCAGTAACAGACCTCCATCAGTATGTAGTGAAATAAGAGCAAATTCTGGTGAAAAACTCAGTAAAAAATTAAACTTCACTCTGAATAATAAAAGAGTCCCAGGAATTTGCTGAAAATGAAAACAAATACTTTAAAATCGTGTGTTTTCTATAAAAAAAAAAAAAAAAAGTGTAATTACATTAATTATCTCGCTGAACCTCTAAAACAGGTTGTTGAAAAATAACCAGTGAAATATTTTTAGTGAATGCTGCGTCAGGTCATTACACGCACAGTGCTCGTAGATATGTGGGCCAGTTGCACAAAATACCTTAAGTTAAGCTTTTCCTTAAAGTCTGACTAAAGGGTTCCTTTAAATAAAAATGGCTGCACAAAACCACCTGAAGTGTTCACTGAAGTATTTAACGCTTTCTCTTTCTCTTAGTCTTTATGCCACAGGATCTTTCTGGTCAGGTTTAGATAGCGGCGCGCTTCGTTAATGTTACCTGAGGTGCTAATGACAGCAACTCAACTGTCTCCATGGAAACAGTAGAATTAGACTGCTGCGGATGCCTTCACTTTTTCCCTTAACTAAGGAAACCGTTGAAGAGAGTCTGTGCAGCACCCTTAAGTAACTCCCTCAGCTAAGGACAAGTTAAACCTTAAGGGTCATATTTAAGTAGAAAACTTAAGGTGGTTTGTGCGACCGGCCCCTGGCTTTTACTTTGAAATCCGTGAGAGGAAACGCTGTTCTCGCTCACGCGCCGTCGCTTCGGGTTCCCGCTGCTCTGAAGTTGTGCTGGAAGTTTAGCTCTCAGGTCTGTCTCATGAACTCGGTCCATTTGTGGAGTCTGAGAGAGAGATGAGCGGACAGACGGTCCCCGCGGACTTCTCCGGACACATGTTGGACCTGGACGAGGATGAAGACCTGGAGGTTTTCAGTAAGGTAAAGAGAAAGTCAACGGAAACGAGTCGAAAGCTCCGGACTGAGCTTCAGATAGTTCCGATGGTTTTCTTGCTACGTGGATTTGAGCCTGTCACAGACTTTAACTGAACTTAGTGTGAAGTTAATGTAAAGTCAGTAAGTTTCGTCCAGTGAGAGAGAGCAGTGACAGTCCGTGGTGAAGTCACAGAGGGAAGGAAAGCAACGTCCCGTGTCAGCTGATGAGCTGACCTTAGGACCCGACTGTCCCCCGCGCCTCCACGGACAAGCTAACACCAACCCCCGCCCGGTGTTTTAATCTTTTAAGGTTTATTTACGAAGCTGCGAAACTTCTCACACATACAAACGGCCTTTAATGTGTTTAACCGACCTACAGACTCTCCTCTTCAATCCGGCTCCAACACAAGAGTCAGCAACTAGTCCAGGAGCTCTAAAACCCTCAGCCTGGTTCACCTGTATCTACCTGTGTGACTCTTCCTCAGCTCAGCAGTCACCGAGCTCTGACTGGGAATGTACGGAAGAGGATTAGGGTCAAATGTGAAGTCAGAAATCTGACCTTTTTCTCAGATTTAAAGATTCAATTCTGAGATTTAAAGAGGCCTTAAACTCAGAATTCAGACTTTAATCATGAATTCTGACATCAAAGTTAGAATTCTATAAAAGAAGAAGAATCACAAAGTTGTTGAAAAGTTAGAAAATGATATAGATTGAGATGATGCTTTAGTTTATTTATACCTAAATGAACACGGGCTCCACACCGTGACCTACTGTGAATACACAGATTTCACTCACAGCTACGTGAGCATGGTTGGAGGCTTCAGTGGAGGATACGGTGAATGGAGCTTTATTCAGTGTATCTCTGTGTGAGTTTCTGCTGGGCTTGATTTAGATCAACATGTGAACAAAGGGAGGTCTCAAGACTGGAACCTCAAAACGAGACACAAGTGTCAGGCTGTGCTACCACCGCAGGACCAGGTGAACTAGTGTCGTCAATGGCAACCGCGATGTTGTCTCCAGGTTGGCAGGAGATGTAAAGATGGCTGTTTGGTATATATCAGCTGATCTGTAAAGCTGCTCTGTGATTGGTCAGAGAGGCGTGTGTTAATCAGCAGCTATTTTGATAATTGAATATTCATTTTTTTTATCTTAATTACTAATTATTGTCATATGTGACAGTAAATTGAATATCCTCTTTTCAGCATTTTATGAACCAAACAAACAAAAGATTAATTGAGAAAAGAATCAGAAGCTTAATTGATGATGAAAATTGTTGCAGCTCTAGTCATTTCCACTTCTACAAAGCAGTTCCAGCTTCTTTTTACAACGTCCTGACCTCGGGCCAAAGTTGGGCAGAGATTCCCCTTTATAGGTTGAGTTTGAGTCATGTTGTGTCACCTGACCTGACCAAACACTGATAAGCACAATGAATCTACTGGGTTGTGTTCAAGAGCAGTGTTTGATGTTTTCTGCTGTAAAAACATAAACCTGCACTGATGCCCAGACAGTTGACAATAACTGGCTTTAGCAGGGGGGGGGGGACTATCAGCTATTGTCAATACACGATCGGCCGAATCCCAACAACAACTGAGCTGCTACTGACATGATCAAGAGCTGGTTTTCTTGTGAAGAACAGCTGATCTGATCAGTTCCTTTCCACCGTGGATCTTGTCGGCTGAGGTCGTCCAACTGTTAGACTCAAACATGTTTTTAAATGTGGAAGCCATTTGTAGATATTGACGACCTTTCCACCAGCTCTGGTCTCATCTGCCACACTTTACCATAGATGGTGGTTGTGGTTTCTCTTTGAGTGTATTTTGGTCTAAATGAACTCTCCAGTAACACTGCCTGGAGGCGGTTCTGTGTTTGTGCTGAAGCAGACAGAGTGAGAGCTCCCTGCTACATATGTACGGTCACATGACGACCAAACTGTCTGGCAGGGGAGAGTCATGATGTGTTGTGTATCCTGGGCGGCAGCGCTCTGGGCCCTGTGCTGACCTCAGCAGCTTCTCAGCTGTTGTTACAGGAAACAGACCTGCAGGCAGCACATGTTTGCATAAATTGGATGATTTGAATGTGAAAACATGAAGTCTGCTGCGAACAGGCCTGAGCTCACACAGTGAAACTCACAGATGTCGCCTCATCTTAAATTTGATCATTTTGTTATCAGTTGGAAAGTTGTAGTGTTGTATTCACACCCCCGCTGTTTCTCTGGGGTTTCTGCAGCTTCCTGCTGAAGAAGCATAAAGTCAGCGTACAGTGAAATCGCCGTAGATGATGCAGAGTGTTGCATCGTGTGACGTATGTCATATAGACAGTAGTCTGTCAGCTGATCAGGGAAGCAGCATCAGCGCTCGGATATCAGACTGTGGCATTTCCTGCTGATCTGCTGTCGGAGCTCCAGGTGCAGGTTCAGGAGTCTTCGGCCACGCTGCTGGTTCCCTGAGATTTAACTTCAGGTGATCTCGTATTTCTGTGAATCTGGACGACAGAGTCAGTGAACAGTCTGAGGAGGAAAACCAGGACTGAAATAAGCAGTTTTCTGCTTGGTTAACAGTGACGGTGCTAACACAGTGATCTCACCATGAGGTCCATATAGCAGCTGTTCAGGGGCTTTCGACGATACCACATGATCTTCATCAGCAGGTGAAGTCGTCCAGGTGTCAATGGTCAGATTTACGCTTTTCTTAGCTCTTCAAGGACTTCCTGTTGTGTCCGTTTGTCCCGTCCTCGTGAACGCGATATCTCAAGAACGCCATGAGGGAAGTTCTTTAAATTTGGAACAGAGGTCCACTTGGACTTAAGGATGAACTGATTTGAATTTGTTGGTCAAAGGTCACAGGTCAAGGGCACTGTCACCTCACAAAACATGTTTCTGGCCATAACTGATTGGCGGAGGCACAAAGTTTTTGTGCCAGCATGGTGTAGTCTGCAGTTTTCAGGGAGCGGCAGAACGTAGCCCAGTGATGGTGACGGAGCAGCCTGTTGCCCCAAGGTGGATGAGCAGAAAGATTGTAGGGTTTGACCTTGGCTGGAGGAGAGAAGGAGCAGGGTCTTGAAGTGGATCTGATCTGCAACAGGGAGCCAGTGTGGTGCACAGAGAGGAGGAGGGGGGTGGGACAGCTTGAAGAGGTTGAAACGACAGATGCCACAGACGCAACGCTGCGTAATACAGTACATACAGTTCATGAAACGCACATTCCTGCTAAATGACTTTCTAATATGGTTTTCTAATCTTCACTTCTTAGTAGTTGCAATGAAAACTCCTGAGTCCTGAGTCAAACTGTCACAGACGTCTGTGCAGTGTTGTCTGATAAACCTTCCACGGTGACCCTTAGGAAACTTGAGAGAACACAAAACAATCTTCATCAACACATGAGCTGCAAACACTCACAACACAACACAAGTGTGTCCAGGGGACACTAAAGAGTGATGAACCAGGCTGGGACGAACTTGTTGTTCAATGCTTTAACTTCAAACGTCACTGTTGTGTTGTGCTACGTGCTGTGTGCTCTCTGGGCCACCGTAGCCTTCAAACCCTGCTGTGGGGGACCTGTGGTGTTTTAATGCAGGGCTGTTTTCACCCTCTGAAGCAGGTACTGGACATGATTCACCTGTATGTGAAATGCATGAACTGTCCTCATGTGAGTTCTGTCACTGCTGACCTTTGACCTCATCACTCCTGCCTACTTTAATGTTTCTAACCCAGGAATCAAAGCTTGTTCTGTTGATGTCAGAGTTGAGAACAACAGTTTCTCTCTTTTATTATTGAATGTACAGTTCAGTGTGTGTGTGTGTGTGTGTGTGTGTGTGTGTGTGCGCGCGCGCGTGTGTGTGTGTGTGAGGAGATTCACCGAGTGGGGAATTAATCCAGTCCAATTTTTTGACAGAGCACATTTAGCCTCAGTTCCTTACCCCACACACCATCTGCACAGGTCTGCAAATTGAAACGCGCCCACGGGGCCCAGATGGCTCCCAGAGTTAGTATTCAAAGATAAACTGGGTGTTTCACTGTTGAAAACCCTCAGAGCAGGATATACAGGAAGTATCTCCACACAGTGAAGGAAGCTCATGACAACATAGTGTGTTATAAACTTCAGTAGTTCAACTCAGAGAGGGAGAGACAGAGAGAGAGAGAGAGAGGGAGAGAGAGAGACAGAGGGAGGGAGAGAGGGAGAGACAGAGAGAGAGAGAGAAAGGGAGGGAGGGAGGAATGTGTCAGAGTCTTGGAAACACAGCGATGGTGAAGAAGAAGAATTATATTCTGCACTGGAAGACGTTGTGCAGTCTGCTGTGCAGAACTGGATTCAAAAACCACGATGACGGTCAAAAGCCGCCACAAGAAACACTACAGATTAGCACAACCACTCAGGGTTCACCTTCTCTTGTCCAGGACCAGCAGCCAATCAGCCGAGACTAGGAAGTTATAATCACCTGAGCCAAGTCGTAGTTTGGGACACAACTCATACAATGGTGAATTGTTGTTTTTTTACACTGGACTTTTGTTTGGATTAAACAGTGTGTCATGTGATAGTGACTGAGCTTTAGAGGTGTTGGTAGGAGGTTCTGAAGCAGACTCACTGTTTCCCCGGTCACAGTCTTTGTGCTGAGATCTCATGGACAGACCTGGAGGTGGTGTCAGTCTGATTCCCTGCTGCTTTGGGCCAACAGCTCTACACTGTAGGAGCCTGGATGCTGTTTGCTGATGTTGGATTAATTAGTTTAAATTTCATGTGTAAAACAACAGTGATAGACAGTAACTGATAAAAGAAATTTAAGGATTATTTACAGGTTGAGCTCCTTACAGTTCATATTCACAGTAATGTAACACCATACGTTAATTAAGAGTTTTATTCCTGTCACTAAGAAGGGCTTGTTGAAAAATGTAATATAAATATACATGTATATAATGTATACAAGGGGAGGGAGTAACATCGGGTCAGGCAGGCAGAGAGTGGAGCTACAGATCTTCACCGGAGTCAAGTGGAGGTGATGATGATGATGATGATGATGATGATGATGATGATGATGATGATGATCTGTGGACTGAGCTGTGTTTGTCCAAAGTCAAATGTTTTTACCTGTTCAGAGTGAGGGGAGATGAGCAGCCTGTTGCCATGGAGACACCGTGGATTAAACGCTTAGAGTCTCTCTTTGAAAACATTGATTCTGTTGTTCACCTGAAACTTGTAGAAGTTGTGTTTGTTGTGAACGCCGCTGCGGTCTGACAGTGATGTCATTGTCACATGGTCTCTCTGGTCCAGAACACATCGCTGGCCGACGGCAGCCCCATGCCCAACTCCCCCAGCTCCATGGTCAACCAGTACAGACTGGAGGAGGATGAGGAGGAGCAGCAGGACGCCAACGCCAAAGACATCTTCGTCACCGTTGACAACCCAGAGAGCCACGTCACTGCCATCGAGACCTTCATCATGTACAGGGTCCTGACCAAGGTGAGGAGGGTTTTTCTTCTTCTTGCCATCAAATGCAGCGCTCCAGAGAGGAGAGGCAGCGTGTTGTCACCGAGCTAGAACCAGGAAATGAGTCCTGTGTCATGGCGGCTCTGAACTAATTCTCATCTTCTGTCTCCAGACCACGAGGAGTGAGTTCGACTCCAGTGAGTACGAGGTACGCCGGCGCTACCAGGACTTCCTGTGGCTCCGGAGCCGACTGGAGGAAAACCACCCGACGCTCATCGTCCACGTACGTGTTGACACACCACATCATCTGCTTAACACATCTGTGTGCCGCCTCCGAGTCCACCCAGACCAGGGCAGGATGTTTCAGTCAGACAGTTAATGTTACTGTCGGCCATTTTCCAAAGCACGTCCAGGATTCCTGTGGTTTTTATTCACTTTCTTACAGCACGGAAACTTAGACGTGTAATTATTATGTGAATAATGATTACATGAAATAAAACGGAGAGAATCAGCAGTTTTGCAACTGGTCTCCGTCACAGTAGATCTTACAGTCTTTCAGTACTTTGTGTGGTTTGGAATCAGGTTGTGTTTTTGTGGGTCTGAAGCAGGACTCTGTCTCTTTACTGGGCCACGCTGCTGTTCACACATAATTTATCACGTCTGCTTAAGTAGCTGTTTCTGTGGAGAAGAAATAAGAGTGGTTTTAGTGCTGTGATGTAAATATGAATATAAAAGTGTCAGAAAATCCAACCATCAGGACGGAAAGACGATGAAACATTTAATTCTCTAGTCGAGTGCAGAAAAATCTTGTTCTTTGGTTTCTTATATTCCTTTTTTGTACTTATGCACTTTTCTTTTTTTAAATATATATATTTATTAACTGACATGCACACATACATGAAGATTGATTCAGGGATTCAAAGGGTAAGTGATATGTGCAGTGAAATGTAGAGCGTCGTCTCTTCAAGTTGTGTGAAACGACTAGAATGGAAAAAGATGGTTATAATAAAAAGAAATAAAGAAAATCAAGATGTATTATTATGTAGAATCCACACAGATGACAGAGGTTGATTGAGTTCACAGTAACAGGAAGTGACGTTTTACCGTCCTGAGTGCAGGGAAGTAAAATGTCTTCTGGTCACATGGAGGTTTATCACCTTCATGACACACTCTGGCCTCGTTCTGAGTGCTACGCTGTGGCGTTTTCCTTTTTCAGCCGCTGCCGGAGAAATTCGTGATGAAGGGCATGGTGGAGCGCTTCAACGACGACTTCATTGAGACCAGGAGGAGAGCTCTGCACCGCTTCCTCAACAAGATCTCCGAGCATCCCATCCTGTCCTGCAGCCAGCACTTCAGAGTCTTCCTGACTGCACAGGTCTCTCATACACACACACACACACACACACACACACACACACACACACACACACACACACACACACACACACACACACACACACACACACAGTTGGGTTGGATAGTGCAGTGGTGCAAATGGTGCAAAAAAACAGGAAGTAGCCCTGAGAAGTATTTCCAGCTCGTCACTGACACTGAATATTATTAATGAGCTTTGAATGTGTTGCAAGGTACAGTCCAGTTTATTTCTAGAGCTCTTTTAAACACAGCTTGAGCGGTACAAAGGGAAAAGACGTTTAGATAAATAAAAGTAAAGTAAAACAAATGTATAAAATAAGTAGATATACTGATCACAGAAACACATAAACATACTGACTAAAACAAGAAAACAACAAGGAGCAAATACTCCGTTCAGAACATGACAACAGATGCGGTAGGTGTACTGAACTTTGGAGGGAGCCAGGCTAGCTGTTCCCCCTGCTTCCAGTCTTTATGCTAAGCTAGGCTAACATGTCCTGACTTCAGCTCTGTAGTTAACACATGACATTAATATCCATCTTCTCATCTCTATTAGAAACATGAAAGATGTTCGACTGTTCCTTTAATGGTTAGGAGGTTAAATTGTCAGGAAGCTTATTTACGGACGTTGAAAATGAAGTTATGTATGTATATATATATATATATATATATATATAGTTGATTTTGTACTGGGCCTCATTAAAGCCTCCTGACCTCCTGCAGGAGCTGACGTCCCACAAGAAGCAGGGTCCAGGTTTCCTGAGCAGGATGGGAGAGACGGTGAGGGCCGTGGCCAACTCGGTACGAGGCCTGAGGAGCCGACCGGAGGAGTTCACCACGATGCAGGAGTACGTGGAGGACTTCAGCAACAAGGTCTGCTCCGTGGACAAAGTCACCCAGAGGATCATCAAGGAGCAGAGAGGTACCGCAGCACTCACACTGAGGAGGTCTGTGCAGACCCCGGATCAGGACACGCATCGTCTTAGACAGCACACAAACTATTTATATATAACCTGATTGATATTATATACTATATAAATACTTCTGAACTTGAAGGATAACAGATCTGATCCTCTGTGCATCCAGAGTACCTGGACGAGATGAGGCAGTACGGCCCCACCTACACCCAGTGGGCGGGGTCAGAGGAGGAGCTGGCGGAGCCGCTGAAGGGCGTGGCCGGCTGCGTGGAGCGGTGCAGTAAGGAAACAGAGGAGCAGATCCACCATCTGTCTGAGGTCCTGGTCCCTGCCCTGCACGAGTACGTCCTCTGTGCCGAGACACTGAAGGTGAGTCCAGAACACACGACTCACACCTGACACCGGCAGACAGGAGACGCTCCGAACGTCTGCAGGCTCCAGAATAAACGGATGATCTAAAGTCAAAACTGTGTGAGTGTTACGACCTGAACCGACAGAGAATCGATCCAGATGTGACACGGGACGTTCGCTCTCTGAAAGCTCCTCCTCCTGACGTTTACAGACACGACTAATCGATCACAGAGAGCAGCTTCTCTGCCTTCAGCTTGGCAGATTGAGAGGTTTACTGACTCTTTTCTATTTTTCATATAAAGGACATTTTCCCTCTTTTGTTTTAAGTCTAATAATGAATTCAACAGATGAGTTTCTCTAACTTCTCTGTTGGTTTTTAACAGTTTTAAAACTGCATTTATTCAAAAATCTAACGACACTTTTTAACTCAAACTCACTGAACTGGCGTGCACTCAGTCTAAATCATGTATGCACAGTTGATGTGTGTCCTTCCTGCAGGTCGATGTGAGAAAGGCCAGCCCCACTAATATTTTTTAATCCTGTTATCTCAAGTTAACAGAACTCGTTAACCCCAGATAACCAGATGTTATCAGGAGGAGATGATGTTGACTGAACCTCACACACTGAGTGGCAGTAACTCTCCTCCTTAGCAACAGTCCTTAGTAACTCGTTAGCTGACGAGGACTGATCAGAAAATGATCTTGTGTGGAAAGACATTTCAAAGATTTCTGGCCTTGACTGAAATATTCTCTGATGCGTTGATCGATGTGTCGTCCTGACACTTTCACTTCACAGCTCTAGAAGTTTCTGCCTCTGATCTCTGATCAACAAAGTCGAGCTTTGTCTTTGTCAGATAACGAGATAATTATCTCCTTATCTCGAGATAACAAAAGATCGTTTTCTCCTGATAATATCTCGGGATAACGGGATAAAAAAGTATTTGCAGGTACGGCCTTTCTCAGCTTCCGTACCTTTATAAATAAAACACAGTGAATAAAAGAGAAGTGAGAAGCATCACCACGACCCCCTCACCTCCGGTCAGTGCAGACCCTCACAGCTGTTCAGGTCCTCTGTCGTCAGTCAGGTGGTAATTAACAGGAAGCAGCTGTGCAGTGAACAGAGGCTGTCGTCAGGTGAGAGGTGGACGTGTCTCGTCATGTGTCGTTCAGAGTCTGAGCTACGCTAACGTCAGCGTGCTAACATCGTCACAGTGTAAACATGCTGATGTTTAGTAGTTAGAATAACAGCTGGTGAAAAGTCAGAGGATGATCAAGATTACGAGGATGAAAGCTCCAGTAGCTCTTCAGTTACTGGTGAGTTAACCAGGCTGTAAAGGTGGACTGGTGAGTTAACCAGGCTGTAAAGGTGGACTGGTGAGTTGATCAGTTTTCATGTTCGACGTGACGATGTTTAACGTCCCCAACAACCTCTGTGTCTCATTCAGACACTCGTTAGCAACCAAGATGTGACTAAAGAAATCAGGACTGGAGTATTTACTGATGTATTTTATGAAGTAGAATAAAACGTGAAAATGTCTTGAGCTTATATTTCAGTCATCGAACCTAAAACCCAGAGACAAACCAGAGACTTCAGGACCAGGAAACAGGAAGTGATAAAATACAACTTATTTCCAGGTTATAGGATAATTCCTGCAGAACTCTGTTACACACAATTTATTTTTTAAAATTTAAAATTTAAAATTAAATTTGACACAATTTAACTCAAATGTCCATAAGGATAAAATGATGATGTGGTGACACGGTGAACTTCACTGTGACATCATAATGTTGTGCTCATTATTCAACACTGTGACTCAGGGACAGAAGAGACTGTGACCTTATTTCCTGCAGCTTGACTGGTTGTTGGAGGAAACAGCCACGAGGCAGAAATTCTAGTTGTTCATTATGTGACTGAATCATCTGCTGAGTGAAAGTCTACAGGAGCCACACCCGCAGCCTGGGAGCTGCATTTGGGTCAAAACGTAGAGACATACTGATTTGAGCATCGCTTACAGGCAGTTCAGTTCTTCAGGTGAATTGTCCTTAAACCACTTCCTGTCCAGCACCATGGAAACAGACGTGAGGATGCGTTCAACAGCTGTTAGACTCACACAGACCCCTGGACAAACAGTGATTTCTAAATAATTCAAATCATTTCCTCGTGGTCGTGTCCCTCCGCCACTCAGACTAGTTCCAGGTCACATCCCTGTTTATCCAGTCAGAGAAAATATCAACCATCTGTGTGAAATTTTAGGATTATTGCTGTGTGAAGTCTTGAGTTATGTGTTTTGTGAGGTCACACTGACCTTGACCTTTGACCTTTAGCCACCAAAATCAGTTCATCCTTGAGTCCAAGTGTTTGTGCCAAGTTTGAAGAAGTTCCATCACGACGTTACTGAGATACTGCGTTCACGAGAATGAGATGAACAACCTGAAAACAAAATGGCCGCTGCTCTGACTGTCGCCGGCGCAGAGGAACAAAAAGTGACTTTGATGAAGTTGTGAAGTCGTTTGAAGAAGTAACTCTCTCCTGGTTTGTTTGTCCCAGGCTGTGATGAGACGCAGAGACAACATCCAAGCCGAGTTCGAAGCCAAGAACGAGGCGCTGGCTTCCAGAAAAGTCGACCAAGAAGCAGTGAGTATGATTTTACATCCACACACACACTGACAGAATCAGAGGCACACACCTCCCTCCTCCCTCGCCGCGTCCCTCTGAGCCGGCCTCCGGTCATCTTCCCAGAGATTAGGTGTAATAAAGTGCAGCGTGGAGTAGGGCCTCTCTCTCAGGGCCGCCCTCAGCTCATATTGGGGAGGAAAAACAGCTTCCTGGGAGGATTACCTGAATATCCAGGCTTGTCGACTGGAAGCCCGTCCTCAGCTCAGCGGGAGTAAGAGCTGTCAATATTATTTTACGCTGTAAGCCCAGCAGCTAATCGTGGCGTAATGAAAATTCCCACATCCTTTTTAGACGACGACTCGCTTCAAAATGTCAGGAGACAAAGAGCGAAGATGGAAAGTTAGGCGAGCAAAGGACAGAGCTATTTTTAAACACTTTACTCGAGGTGGTTTGCATCTTTGAAAATATTGTGTACGAGTGTGTGTTGTGTGTGTGTGTGAAGGTGTGCAGGTGTGTGTCCCCTCACCTAGCTGATATCAAAATCCATCTGTGAAATTTTAATTAAGAAGCAGGACTCAGATATTCCCCCACAGACTCGTATCCTATTCTTGCTTTAATTAGCTGTGTGTGTGTGTGTGTGTGTGTGTGTGTGTGTGTGTGTGTGTGTGAGTGAATGGACCTTCTTTAATTCAGTCCTCCAGCCTGTAATGTGTATCAGTCTGTTTCTGCCTTTAACAGATCTGTGCTAATGAGAAGGGAAAAGTCTTTGTTACTGGACGTGGCCGCACGCTGCAGCTCAGGAAACACTTCCTCTCAGCCAGCTTCGACTCAAAGACGCTGTCTCTGAGTTATTCATTTCTTAGTATGTGTTGATTTGTGGGAGGTTTTCATTTGAGGAATGTGTGACAGCTTGAAAAACTTCTCTGAACAGAAATACTTTTTATCTTGTAGTTACTAGAAGCTGGGCTCCTGATGTTTCCCACCATATGTGATATTTCTCATAAAACAAGTGTGTTTCTGTAGGTTGTGGTTTTGCTCCGTCTGCCCTGCTGCAAAGTCCGACCCTCATTTCTCTGCTTCTCTTCCTGAACATTGAACCTGGTCATGTGATAAAATAAATCTTGGAACAGCTGTTTAGTGGCAGCATCACTTGTACCTGAACCATAAAATACAATAAGACAACTATATAACATTAATATGGTACATATCTTCATATTTGGGCTCTACCTATATATTACATTTTGGATATCAGCCACGCTTAGTTTACGTTACACATTAAGGACATTTAGTCAGAAAAGTTTTACACAATTATATATTTTATTACACTTATATTTGACCTCAAGTTTTCATATATGTTCCATAAAGACAGAGTGTTTATGAATGGATGGAGGAGAGCTGTTGTTGTAATGTTAACAGACGATATTTAGATATTTTTTCAGATAACTTCACACTGCAGCTTTAAGTGTCTCCATTATCCTTCAGTTTAAGCTTTATTTGAGAGCCAGCAGTGGAGAGGAAGACAGGAAACATGGAGGAGAGAAAGGATGTCACATGCAGCAAAGGTCACTGGCCAGAAGCGAATGGCATGCACTGAAACCGTTAGGCTGCCATTTATTTGTCTTTGGATATCGCTGCAAAGTTTTCTGTACAACCTTAGTTTCAGTTTCAGTAACAAAAACTATAAAAATATCTTTTCTAAAAAACATTTTAACTTTAACGTGAGAAGCCAAATGTTTTAGTTTGTCTCAGCACAATCAGCCGTTCAAGAACTGGAGAAAATATTCTAAACTCTGTAAAGGTTTGAACTCTCTGATCATAGAATAAGAAAACTAACGATCTGAGCCGATGTTTGATTCCAGCTCTCAGTATCTGACCGTTCTCCATGGCTGGAGATTCAAACACATTTTGTGTAGGTACCAAGAAAGAGTCCAAGCCGACCCACTCACTGTGTGTCCGGTCTGGCCTTCCTTCAGTTCAGCCCTTCGGTCCACAGCAGGAGACTAAATCTCTCACTGCGAGACGAGTGGGTGTGAGGGCTTCTAATGATTTCTAATGAAAAGCACAGAATTTATTCTCCCTCGAGAATTAAACCTTTTCATTTAGATTTTCTAGACTGAGGTAAGTAATAAATAAAAACAATAAAAATAAGACAAAAATAAGAGGAACTGAGGAAACACTGAAGCGACAGCGTGATGAAGATAAAATAATAAAATAATAACATGGAAATTTATTAAGGTAAAACCAGAAACAAAAAGTAGAATATAAAAAAAATAAAATAAAAAAGGAAGTAAAAATAAAATTAAAATAAAGACAAAATAGTAAAGATAAATAATAAAATGCTCAAAGAGAGAACCAGAAATAAAATAAATAATCAGAAATAGGAGTAGGGTATTAAAAGGAAAGCAATCAAGAAATAAATAGAAATATAGATTAATAAAATTTAATAAATTTCAATTAAAAGCCAGATTATAAAGGCCGGTCTTGAGTTTGCCACCCCCAGGTCTTCAGGTCTACCTTCCCACAGGCGTAGAACCTCACTGTGGGTTTTGGTTCTGACTTGAAGACCTGGGTTAAAAGACCACGAGCAGAACACCTGAAGGTTCATGAAGGTTCATAGGACAAAAACAAATCTGATAAATAAGAAGAACTGAGACCGTGAAGAGCTTTAATAATCCACTGAAGCAGAGAGGGAGCCAGAGCAGAGACTTTAAAACTCTCTGTCTGGTCTGAGTCAACACACGAGGTAACCTGGGTTCAGATCAGCTGCTCGGCTCTCGTCTCAGCGAGAGTGTGGACTCTCTCACCTCTGCTCACGAAGCAGTGGTAGTAGTTTGATCAGGTTGCTTTGTGTTCAGTCATCACTGGAGACACCGACCGTGACCGCTCCGTCTGAAACACAAGACATGTGACGTCTTTTCTTTGTCGTGTCCGCGTGTGTGTCTTCATCACATCGCTGTCGGTTCAGATCTTGATCGGAGGCTGAGGAAGGAAACCAACAGTCATCCAGAAATGTCAGGTACCAGCAGTAATTCAGAGCTGATCAGTCCGATGAGAATCTGTCTGAGCTCCACACTGCACAGAGGAAAACTCCTCTCCTCTGTAAACACTTACTTGACCTTTTACTGGAGAGAAAATACTGAGCTTTCATATGAGTCGACCTTTTACCAGACAGACTGAATGTTTCTGTGACTCCCCTCGGCCAGCAGGGGGCAGCGCTGCTCCATTTAGCTGCACAGTGTCATTAGAGTTGAGTTTCTTGAACGCATCACCGCTGCTGCTTCCTGTACTTTTACTTTTATTGTATTATATAAAAACATGTCCTCCAGAACTCCTGCAATCAAAAACAGTCTAAAATCATTTCTGTCTTTATTAAATTAAATTGCTGGTTGAGGAAAAGTGTTTTGAGTTCTCAGGGAGGTTGGTCTGATATCAGCTGATTATTAAACACTCCACTGTGGCAGGTGCTGCTCATTGTGGGAACTGTTGGTCTCTCTAATGTTAAAAGGCCTTGACCTGTAAAGAGCCTTCAGATAATGTGTGTTTTGATTTGGCGCTATACAAATAAGTGAAATAAAATTCAAACGAATTGATGCGCTGATGAGAAGTTAAACATGTTCCTTTGTGTTTTTCCCGCTCACCTCACGATGGCAGCACCACCCTACAGTTCGTAGACACCTGTACAATCCAGGTGGAACCAGTGTTTCCATAAACAGGCTGTAAACAGGCAGCGGACAGTTGCTGTTAGGTAGTGTCGTTTGTCTCTTCCGCCAAGAGACGGTCGCTGATTGAAAGAGTTCAATGTGAAGAGACTACACATGATTCACACCAGTGAGAGAGTGAAACATCTGGAAGCTAGCTGAAGCTAGCAGCTTCTCACACGGCATGGCCCCCAGGTGTGTTCACACCTTCCCTGGCCCCCATTCAAAAAGGTCTGGACACCCCAGCTGTACATGGAGTCAGTACGACTCTGCAGAGACGGTCAGCAGCAGTCTGATCAGTCTCATTAACAACTTTGATTTTACTCTTCATATTCATAGAACGTGTGTGTGTGTGTGTGTGTGTGTGTGTAGTTGAGTAAATGCCATTGTCAGTCTAAATGTCAGACAGCTAAGCTCTGCTCAGGCTCAGTGAATCCAGCTGTGTGATAACATCTGGTTATTTGTTCTGTGAACAGTAAAGTCACGTGCACGTCAGGCTTTTATACACTTTCAGGTTAAATGTTTGTATACTAAAACACGCAGGTGGAGTTAAAACCAGTGATAATAACTTTTATAGTAAGGAGCTCATGAGTCATTCAGTGTGACGCTGCTCTGATCTTTGGAGGACACTAACCTGTGAACTTTTACACTGTGCAGTAAAACATAATGTAACGTCGTCTTGTTCCTCTGCAGGAAAAATAAAACCACACTAACTGAGATAAAACATTTATGCTTTTAGAGCTGGAGAACGTGGTTGTAAAATACATTTACATGCATTTAGTTTAATGCATTGTAAGTTCTTGTAAAACTTTAGGGTCTCTCAGTGAAATAATTTGGCAGGAGGCCAAAGAGATGACTCCACTGTCATGTCCTAAAGGAGAGAATGTTTTACTTTTTAATAATTTCATTAAAGTTTCTAATATTGGATTTACCCATAAATGAGTAGGCGGCTCGTCTGGTGCTCGGTGACCTGGTGACACCTCTCAGGTTTTATTAAAGGAACCCTTTAATGAAACCTGCTCTGTATGGATCTCCGTCTGTGCAGCGGCACTCCACCACCGGCTTCAGGTCATTTTAACCTCCAGTCAAAACTATCTTTTAAAGTAGTATTCATTGATTTTTGTGACCACTGGGCAGGTAGAAGAAAAAACATGATATATGAATAAAAAAGACATGTTTTCAGATGCAGTAGGTTATTATTATCATGACGGAAAGAAGAGGACGATGGTCACAGGAGAAGCAGACCAACTCCCACCTCAGACTATTTAAAAGTTTACTTTAAAGTTTTTTTAAATGGTAGATATACATTTTTATAAGCGTTCATCTCATCTGCAAATTTATTAAACGACCTGTGACTCTGTTTAAAATATTAAAATCCTATTAAAAGACAGAAAAGAAAACAGCCGTCCTTCTGCAACAAGCTCGTATGAACTGATTTGTTTTAAAGTGTTTTCTCTCTCTTCTCTCCAGACTGATCGTACATCACGTTCAGATTCTCTCTACAAGGAAAAAACACTCACTTTCTTTTAACTGGAGCTTTAATCTGAATAAATTTGGAGAATAAATATGATGCATCTTCTTCCTCTTCTACTGTCACATCCCATTAACCATCTCACGTTAGTAATGTCCTGCCTCTCTGTGTTTTAGTGCTCTGATGACATGGTCTTTAACAGCTGTGCTGCTGATATTCTCAAAAATCCCAGTGTCACCTGCATAAACCTACAACAAAGTCTGGTTCATATTTATGACGCCAAACAGACGGCGTGTTTGTCAGACTCTGAAGTGATCAGCCGTCTCTCTGTGTGTGTGACCGGCAGCTGCAGGAGGAGGTGGACGCTCTGGCAGACCGGGTGGAGCTGGCGAACAACGCCCTGAAGGGAGACTGGTCCCGCTGGCAGAGCAGCATGAGGACTGACCTCAGATCAGCCTTTATCTCTACTGCGGAGAAGAACGTGGAGTACTACGAGAAGGTGAGCTCGAGATCTGTTGAGTTAGCTTAAATAAGTTTGAATTATGGACAGTTTGTATGAACAGGAAGAAGGTGGCAGCACATAGATCCATCGACATGGAGACTGTAGGGGACAGGAACAGCTGAGTGGATAGTTAAAGAGGATGCTGATTAATAATTGGCTGACACATTTTAGAAGTGAAAACTAGTAATATAAGTAGTGCGTAGTAATGAGACTACGTCCACATGACTACATTTTCATTTTAAAACTGCGTCTTCAAAAGAAATCGATTTACATCTGGACTATCACACCTGAACATGACCATGAGCTGGTATAAACAGGAAGTAGATCGTCTCCTCTGAAGGAGGAACAGCAAAGACAGTTGTAGCATTAAAACAGAGAATGTAAGTGAACAACAGCTGCTAGCAAAGACAACAAGGTCAGTGACACTGTCATTCAGTCCAGGCTGATGAGAGCCAATCAGGAGAGACCGTGGGTGTGACCTCATCGTTTACAGAGGTCTCACTTTCTGTCCAGACTAAAACACAACCCCAGAGTCTTCAAAATAAAACACAACCCCAGTGTTTTCAAAATAAAACACAACCCCAGAGTTTTCAAAGTAAAACACAACCCCAGAGTTTTCAAAGTAAACTTGTTTCTGTAAATCTCTGTTTTTGTTTCTCAAAAACGCTGAAGTAGAGCGGACCGCAGGCAAAAACGTAACAGAAGAGATGAATTTTAAAATGAAATCGTAGTGTGGACGTAGCCTGAGGGTGGGACTATAGATCCATCAGCTTCCAGACAAAGACGGATTCCCCTCCAGAGAGCGTTTGTCCTCAACTCTGACAGGAGATGTGTTGTTTTATTCAGCATTAAAATCTAGATGCTGTTTAGGAGGGAAATCCTGTCAGAGATATGAAAAACCAAAAAATAAATTCACTGCTTCACTCTCATGATCCTGTTTAATATTCATATGTGTCACAGCCACCAGAGAATCTATAAGTTAATTAGCCCGGAGGAAGCCCAGGGCTGCCGGCTCAGGGAGAACATAAAGTCCTGACACTGACTTTGGACCGGTACCGGAGGAGGTTTTACACCGGTCCAGACTAGTCTCAGGTTAGCACGTTATTACGAGTCCACATCATCCTTTCATTAACATGTTCACCTGTTCACCACTCCCTCTCTTGTTTTCTTTTTTTTCACAACTTTGTTGATAACATATTAAAAACAGGCGTGACATATAATACGTAATGGACAGACGTGTCCATGACGACAAAACAAGAACCAAAAATGATGGCAATATGATGTGTGTGGTCTGTAATATATGTGTGCGTGTGTCGATATACTTGTAGGAAAACTGTAATAACAATAAAAAAGATTATTAATTAATAATAGTAAAATATATATATATGTATATTATAATTTTAAAAGTGACTCAACCAACAAATCCAACAGCTACAGCCATGAAATTAAAGGGGTGTTGGCGCGTTGTTATATTGTGTTATATTCCTATGATAATATCTGTAAGATAGTTGATTAGGCTTGGATCGATATTCAGTAATATTGAATATCACGATACTTCTCACCAAATGTGATATTTTTCATTATCTATCTTGAGAATTGACGCACAATCATGGCACCAAGAACCGAGCTGGAGTCGTGTCCTCTCTGACGACTGTGAGAGGGAGCAGGTGTAGAGGAGGGAGGAGAGTGAAACAAGGGAAGAGTTGAGAGAGCGAAGTTGCAGTGAAGAAGAGATAGGCTGGATCCAGATTAACGAGCAGGCGGCTAGCAGAGACGGCAGCGAGTCCGATGCTGAGAACAGAACAATGGAGCGAGCTGGAAGCAGAGAGAGCTTTACAGCAGGAGGAGAATGAGACAATGAAGTTGTTACGGTAACAGTCGTTAAGTCCGTTATGGGTTTTGTTCGTCATGCTGGAGTTAGCACAGCCTCCGTTTGAATGTGATGTATTTTGGTGGTGGAGCCTGGAGCTCTGCCAGCAGAGGGTAGCAGCACTTTACATTCCCTCAGACTGTCAGCTGGTGTCACCTGCACCAGCTGCTGGTGCTCATCAGCTGAAGCCTGATTCTCATTAACACTAATTAGACGTGTTGTGAAGACTGTAGCAGCTAAAGGTCTCGCCTGTCACCGGATGATGATTGGCAGCTATGGAAATATAGATCTGAAAGATGATCACAAGAAGACTTAATGTTGAAACATAAAAAAACTGAATAGAACTGATTTAGTTCAGAAATTCTGATTGAAAATTAAATATTATTGTCAATCTAAAAACTGAAGTCAAGTCAAATGAAGTTGCTGACTTTGGATGTTACACCTTGATTATCAATACCTTTTTGGTTAATTGTTTGGTTTAAAAAATATCTGGAAATAGTTTTTCAGTTTTTCAAGTGACATATTTAAATGTCTTTGTCTCAGAAACCCAAAAATATTTAGTTAAACTAAAGATATTTATCATAAGACATGAAGGAGACGAACATCAGAGTGAAAACTGGTGAAATTACATGGTGTAATAATGTGTGTGTGTGTGTGTGTGTCTGTCATATTTGGGGTTTCTCTCCCTGCCTCTCTGTGCAGGGGCAGGCCGTCTCTCCCTGCAGCAGCTCTGACAAAAACACTCATCACCCAGCACAGTGGCCCCCGGCAAACTAACGCAGTACACCAGCGCGGGTGTGTGTGTGTGTGTGTGTGTGTGTGTGTGTGTGTGTGTGTGTGTGTGTGTGTGTGTGGTGTAAAAATGTGCATACAGAAGCAGCCGCAGGGCACTCGGCCTCTGAATATAAAAGCATCTCTAATATAGTCAGACAAACTATTTGTTAGAAACTGAGCGTTAAAGCAGTGATGTCGTTTGATTCATGGACGCAGCCCTGGACACAAACATCTCTCTAGATTCATTCCACACATTAACTTAATTCCTACTTTTGAATATTTAAAAAAAAAACAATGAAATATTAATGAATCTCGGAGGTTCAGATCCGTGTGTGTTACTGCTGAATGAACGGAAACCTGATCATAATGAAAAATCCAAAAAAAGAGACTTTTATCCATCTATATAAAAGTAAATGTTTGTAGTTCCACGTGCTCAACTTCTCGTCCATTTTGACAGTGGTAGGTTGAATTGACTGCTCTGACTTCACCTGAATCATGTGTTGGTGTGTCAGCAGCAGGCGGTTCAGTACCTGGGCTCTGACACGTTAAAGCTGGTGTACGGAGGAGGCTGCAGGGAGGGATCCTCAGTAAACCAAGACTTTTAAATGTTGTGACACTTGGTCTTCACAAAACCAAAACCTGAAGAGAGTAAGGACGTATTAAATAACTCCACTAACACCTGAACATGTCTAACTAGCTCTCACCAAGACTTTCAGCTCACTTCTTCCCCTGATCTCCTTCCTTAATGAATAGTTGTTGTACTTAGTTGAGTAGTTCTGATACAGATACTGAGTAAAGTACTGGATCAGGTATCAGCGAGTGTGTGAGTCTATGCACTAATTATCACATTTTTTAATTTATTGATACATTTTTAGTTTCACACCCTGATAAAACACCAGTTTTCCCAGATTCTTCTTCACTGCTCTAAAACAGTCGCCTACACAGGGAAGTTGTTTTGTTGTTTTAGAGCAGTGAAGAAGAATTGATTTCTGGTAAATAATGTAGCATTAGCTGTTAGCAAAATGTCAGCAATTTGTCAACATGTTACAGTGAAAAGTCTCTTCATTAAAAAGACAATATGAACAGCATGAAAGGCTTTAATGTGGAGGGACGGCACCAGTGAGGGATTTATTTATTTCTAGATTCAGTCAAATTAAATAATGAAACAAAGATTCTTTGGCAGCTGTTCATGTTTTACCGGTTTAACCGGAGCCACGTCACACAGCAACAGCAGCCATATAACAGTATTATTAACGGTAAGAAGCAACAAAAGATTATGATCAGTTTGTTTATTTCGTCATTATTTGTCTACACCAACACAAATGGTTCTGCAACTGGACCGGTACTGGACTGTTGCTAAGCAACACATAAGCATTGCCCTGACCTGCACAGAGCACACTAGCTTGATACTTCAGGTGTTTCTGAAGTATCCAGGCTCCTTCCTTCTTCCTCTCCTGACGACCACACATCATTTCATTCAAATGTTAAACACGACATTGACTTGTTGCTTTTCCAGTGGCACTTCTCATTTGCCGTAGAAGGAAAAGGTTTTTACAAATGACATTAAAGCTGGCTCACAGTGTGACAGTGATCCAGTATGCACATTACCAGGACCCTGAAACTGAGGCAGCTACATGGAATCCAGCCATCATTTATTCTCATTTACACCTGTGCTTTTGTACTGCCACATGTCAGAAAGTCCTCTGCCACAAAAGGCCCAGTAGCAAACGACAGAGTGTTTCCATATCCAGCAGACACAGAGCAGCACTGTCATCCATGTGGAGTGGTGTTTGTGTCCACCTGATCAATCCAAGTCCGGTCTTCACTCTCCTTGTAGCTGCAGAAAGAAAAATCGATTCATAGTAGAATCATGATTTTATCTCTACAGATTCAAAATGGATTCATATTCTTGAGTCTTATAACAGCGCTGGTTCACATGAGTTTAGCTCGCCAGTCCTAAAGATGGCGCCTGTCAGTTTCTGCCCAAATGATACTCCTTGGAGTAAGAAGAAAGTGCAGTGTGAGCAGCAAGTAATTCAACGTGCCCCATGTTCAGTGAAGGCAGCGTTTGGACACATTTTTGATGTTCGTTTGATGCTGCGTCATTTTCTTAACAAGATGCAACTGTTCATGAAGTCAGTCTAACGTAATCATGTGATCATAGTTGACTGATCTATGTAAACTTACCACCGTAGAGACAGTGGTTACATAACCCACAACTTAACATCATAGGAGCGCTCTGGTACTCAAACCAATAACACTACACCTCTGACCTCTGAAACATCTGGCTGTTCAGCTCCACTCTGTTCAGCAGCCGGGCTCTCACTGTGCCTCTCACCTGATGCTTGGTGCT